GGTTTTTCGAGACAGGGTTTCTCTGTGCAGCTTTGCGCCTTTCCTGGGATTCACTTGGTAGCCCAGGCTGGCCTCGAACTCACAGAGATCCGCCTGGCTCTGCCTCCCGAGTGCTGGGATTAAAGGCGTGCGCCACCACCGCCCGGCTCCATTGAAATCTTTTAACCGGTTGAGAATTATTATAAGTAGGCACTGTGAAAGCAAATCTTTCTCTGTCCTTTTTCTTGTAAGGGTATTGAAAAGAAATGGTCTTTTAAATCAATAAGTATGAGAGGCCATCCTTTTGGTAACAGAGTAGGCAAAGGAATTCCAGATTGTAGAGAGCCCATTGGCTGAATTACTTTGTTAACTGCTCTAAGGTCTGTTACCATTCTCCATTTACCAGATTTCTTTTTAATAACAAATACAGGAGAATTTCAAGGGCTGGTTGATTCTTCAATATGCTGAGCATTTAACTGTTCTTCTACCAGCTCTTCTGAAGCCTGGAGTTTTTCTGTTGTTAAAGGCCATTGCTGAACCCATACAGGCTTGTCTGTTAACCATTTTAAAGGTAGAGCTGTTGGTGTCTTTGGAAGCTCATCAGTTGTTGTCCCCTGTTCTTGTATAATATGGATGGCTGGTGACCACTCATTAGAATAATATCTTCTAATATTTCTCTCAGAAACATGTGCTAGTTTATGATTTGTTTCTGAGATTGGAGGGATGTTAATCTGAGTATTCCATGGTTGCAACAGGTCTCAACCCCACAGGTTCATAGCTATGTTAGCCACATATGGTTTTAATTTTCCTCTCTTTCCTTCTGGACTTATACATTCGAGCCATTTTGCACTCTGTTTCACTTGAGATAATGTCCCAATTCCTAACAGTTGAACGTTTACCTCCTGAAGAGGCCAAGTTGGATGCCAAAATTCTGGTGCAATTATGGTAATGTCCACACCTGTGTCTACCAGACCAGACAACAAAACACCATTTATTTTTATTGTTAATTTTGGTCTTTGTTCATTAATAGAAGTTTGCCAAAAAATTTTCTTTATGTCTTCTCCTGAATTTTCTATTCTCTCTGTATCATCATCCCAAGCAGCATGATTTATTCCAATAGCCATTTGGTTATTTAATTGCTCTGAGTAGGGGTTTCCTCTACAACTGCAGGAAAGGTTTGAACTGGATTTGCTATGGGGGCCTGCATGAGGCCCCTCTGGGAGTTTCCAAAACACCAAGGCAAAGGATTACCTTGCCTGTCCCTTGTTGATCTACATTCATTGGTCCAGTGATTTCCCTTGCCACACCTTCTGCATACTCCAGAAGGAAGGGGCATTCTGTTGCCATTGTTCCTTGAAGAAACATTGTTTCTAGGAATGACCTGTTTACAGTCCCTTTTCAAATGTCCTTGCTTTCCTCATCCAAAACATCTAATATTTCTCAAACCTTTTGAAATTGCTTCTCCTACCCACATATCATCATGGTCATGAGCCTCAACATTAACCGTCTCTCTAATCCAATCTTCCAAGGGTGCAGATCTTGCCTTTAATGGCCTGATTATTCTTTTGCATGCTGCATTTGCATTCTCAAAGGCCAAAGATTCAATTATTATCTGACTAGCTTCTGAATCCAGGAACATTCTCTTTACTGCTGAAGCCAGTCTTTTTAAAAAATCTGTGAAAGATTCTTTTGGGCCTTGTATAACCTTTGTAAATGACTCAGTTTTTTTTCCTGGTTCCTCAACTCTGTCCCATGAATTCAAGGCTGCCGTTCAACATAGAATTAAGGTTTGGATATCATATAAACATTGTGTTTGTACTGAAGCATTTTGGCCTTCCCCAATAAGTTGATCCTGGAAGACTTGTATTCCTTTATCCCTCCATTGTTTTTCTATGTTTTTAGCCTCATCCTTGAACCACATTTGCCACTGAAGCCTTTGACTGGGTTCCAGAACAGCCTGTGCCAGCTCCCGCCAGTCCTGTTATATGTTGACCAGGAGTTTAACATTTGCTTTACATATGGGGAATGCATGCCATAAGATACTATTGCCTCCTTAAACCTTCGTAAATCTAACATTTCAATTGGAGCCCAAATATTTTGTGTAGTCATTTGATTAGGCAACTGCTGTACAGTTACCGGATAAATTAAGGGTGACTGTGTGAAAACAGGCTTTCTTTCTGTAACCTTATGATCCAATCTTGAAACAACTTCACTATTAATTTCTTCTGTCTGAATTTGAATTTCTCTATAATTCATTTTTACAAGTTTAACAGGTTTTTCTAAAACTTTTATTTTGGCACTTAAATTGATTATCTTTTTAAATAGTAAAATGAGGATAAGAAAAGTAATAAACTGCATAATTCCATCAACATTAATCTTCTCATATAGTTGTTCCATTGTCAGACTGCCTAAAATTTCAAACAAAGCCCAATATTCTTCCAATGTACACATAAAACCCATTTTTTTTAATGTGGAGAAAATTTCTCTTTTAAGTAGTTTCCTTTAAAATATCTGATATGTTAATTGACTTACCAAGTCTGCGTCGTACAGTAGAAATCCAAGGGAATTTCAAAACAGCCACCTAGTGTCTGAGGTGTGAATCGAGAGAGAGAGAGAGAGAGAGAAGATGCAAGTTCTGGCTAAAAGCTTAAATCCAGCCACGAGTTCCCGCTTGAGATGAATCAAGCCCGGGTTCTGGCTTCCTTAAGCTCCGACCATGTGTTGGCTTTACAGGCAGGGGCCCTGTTTGGCAGGGCAGGCCTGAGCTGTTTGTAGCACCAGCTTTAAGGAAGTAGCTCCAGCTGCAGCTAACTGCTTGGGGTATGGTCAGTCCGGCCTGAGACCAAGCTGATCTGGGCCTGAGCTAAGGAGCCGGCCACCCAGGTGGGAAACCGGACCTGCCCCCAAACCAAGCCAAGCAGTTTTTAATGGATTCTTGCCACATTGGGCACCAATTGCAGAAGTAACCATCTTATTAAATAAGAAACAGAGAGCCAATGTAAAGATAAAAGCTCAAGAGGTCAGAGCTAAGAGCCTTACTCTTCCTGCTTCAGCGATCCTCTTTAGCCAAGAGAGATCTACTTCCTGTGTGTTTGTCTTTATGTTGACTTTCTGTTTTTCCTTCTTATTGGTTGTAAACCCAACCACATGACTTCCTCGTCACTGCCTGTCTGTACAGACCTCCAGGTCTTCTATGGTTGGTATTGAGATTAAAGGTGTGTATCTCCAATGCTGGCTGTATCCTTGAACACACAGAGATCTACCTAGTTCTGCCTACCAAGTGCTGGGATTAAAGGCGTGCACCACCACTGCCCAGCTTTTGCTATGGCTCTTATAGCTCTGACCCCCCGGGCAACTTTATTTATTAACATACAAATCACATTTTAGTACAAATAAAATATCACTATAGCAATCATAGGTCTTCTTTGCATTTTTTTAAAGTCTTTTATGTTTGAACTTAAAGGCAATAACATACCAGTGAGTTTAATGTTTAACAAATAGAGATTCATGAATTATTATGTAGTTACTGATATTTAATAAAGCATAATTTGCCTTCAAATGCAGAAAACAGAAAATATGGGAAACTTTTTAAGTACAAAAGATGAAAAATTATCAACAAGATGTTTTCCATTAATGATTCGAAAAAAATACCTAAATAGTTTCAATTTTTGGACAAATAAATTTAGGGCTAGATACCATATTCACTTAATGATCATCTTACATTTCAACAAAAACATCAAATCTCTGTGTCCTCCAATAAAATGAAATGATGAAGCTTTTCCCCCAGGACATCATTTCTTCTCATTGTTAAAAGAGTTGGAAACTGACCATAGAGCAGCCCTGAAAGCCAAACACTTCAAATAATGCATCTTTTGAAATCTAATTTTACCTGTTCCCAGCTGCAGTTTTTTTTTTATTCTTCCAATCTATAAAAATTACAATCCTAGGAAAAGCTGATATTCAGATTCATTTTTTATGTCTGATTTAATATAAATACAGTTTGGAAACCTCATTTAAAATGATCTAGATGAATAGATTGGTTTACCATTCCTTGCCTCTCCACAATCACCAAGGCTGTATCAAGCTACACCTGATATGAGAGGTCCAGTAAAATGGGCTGCAGCAGACAGAGACCAAGTGCTTATTTGCTGTCACTCAGTCAAAAGTTACTGTGGTTAGGGTTTAACATGGAATATACAGTGGACAATACTTTGATGAAGATAAATGAATTCCTCATGCTTTCTCATCATTATTATGGTGTTGTCTAGTAATCTCTCTTCTTTATAAATCATAAAAAAAACCCTAAGGGATATGTATTAGAAAAGTTTACTGACAATTGACCAGTCTAACAGTAAGAAGTAATTCTGTCTCCATGGGATAAAGTCTGAAGAGATGTAAAAATTATATTCAATATCCATGAAAGAGTATAAGGTAGTAGATTGAGAGTAAAATAAATAAATGTGTAAAATTTCAAGTGAATAAAATACCATGCCGTGTTTGGGAGAACTGAAGACTTTAGTGATGATTGATAATATCTCAGCTAGAAATGCTCTGTGTCTACTCTAAAAAATCTATTTTAATAGAGTCAATAAATAATTAGTGCAATTGAGTGGGCAGGTACATTAGGAACTACAAAGGTAGTTGGTAGCAAATGATTCTTAAATGCATTGGTGACATAAACTTGAGCATCAGCTGCATCATGCTGAGTGACCTACCTGTATGTGAGCTAACACTAGTAAGTAAAAACTATTCAGGGGAATAAGGTACAAAAAGTGGCAAATGGGACTTAATGACACTATAAAGTGTCTCAGAGCAAAATAAATAATCTATTAAGTATCTTCAAGGTACTGTTAAGTCAGATTGTCCATGTAAATTCTGGTTACACCTTAATGTAAAGAAAATGAAAAGAGCATAGGGTTTGACTTCCCCCTATTTATGAGTCAATGTGCTGGCTGTATCTATCTCATGTTTCACTTCTGGATAAGAGAGACAGGACTTTACTACACATAGCAGCAGAAAAATGAGGGTTAATCTATAGTGGCAATTAATGAGGCAATTCCACATAGATTATCTGATAGTCAAAAGTTTATTTTGAGTTATCTTACAACTAGCAAAGGTAGTTGGTTGCAGGATCCAGGAGAGGTGAGGCCAGGTCTAATGCAGTTCTCTGGAGAACTCTGAGTTATTCCATAGCATCCAGCATCCAGGATCACGAGGTAGCTGAGAGAGTGAGCACATAGGCATTTTAGGTCTTAAGAGGTCCCTGTCTCAGCCATGCCCTGGGTGGGGGCAGGTACCTAGCAGTTACCTGCTGCTTACTAGGGGCGGTGCTTCAGGGGTGAAGCACAGACAACCGCCCCTACATTAATCGAGTTTTTTTTTCTGCTACAGAGTCAAAATAGTTGGCTTAGATGGTAGCTACACATGCAGTTACAGTACAGAATAAGACTGAGTATACAGTTAACTGACTAAAAGGCAGCAAGTAATCTGATTTGTTCCCAGTAAATACATGCACTGATCTATCAGTATTGCTCTCTGAAAGTATTACCCTGAGAAACACCCATGGTGAGAAGCTGGAAAAGCTTGCATTCTTAAGCCCACAGACACTTGTTTGGGTGTGAGAAACTACCCATGACTATTACCGCAAAAAAAAGCCCAGGCAAGAAATCTGAAATAAGTTGACATCCAAAACCATATAAATATGTAATTAATTTATTAGTTAGTTGCAAGAGAATAAAATTTCTCTTAATTGTTGATATGTATGTAAAAACCCATATATCCTCTAGTCAAAGAAATATTTTACTCTCAAATTATAATAATAAAAACCGTGTTATAGATTATTACATATTCTGGAAAAAAGGCTTCATCTAGAAGAACAATGAAGATCCAATTCAGATTGACATCAGAATAAGGGTACTGTTGGAAATTATTTCACAGCATCTAATCAAGATTTATAAAGACAAAACTAAAGCTATCCTATCTATGCTCACATTCTTCACTCTCTTCCTTATGTCTTATTAATATTTTTCATTTTCATTTTAAAAATTCATAGTACAAATTCATTGTACATTTATTTAAATGTAGTTTGAGCTGTGTATTGAGCATATTTCCCCATGCACCCCACTTCTCTCAAAATCACTAAGACTTGCAGAAATGAATGGACAGGAAGATTGACATTACTGCTGGTAACTAGCCTAGAACATAAGCCATTGTGGGAATGCTTCTGCCATGCAAGGGATAGAGACTTTGACAAGAAATATATTTGGAAGATATAAAACAAAACAGCAACAACCCCCCCCCAAAAAAAACCCAAGAGTTCAACATGTGGGAGATAGCCAGAGGTAGACATCAATGCTTTCAGTCCTGACTTATTAGCATTCTGTTTCTCTATTTTCACTGTCAGTGAAGGCAAACAATAGATTAGATAGTTTACAAAGAATTTAAGGGGAAAAAAACAGAGAAAAGTGGTTAGAGTTAGGATAAGGAACATGGGAAGAAATGGTCAAGCATGTACTGGGAAGAAAAAAGCAATCTGAGTAGTTAGTAAGGTCAGAGAAGTAGCATTCTAATAAAGTAATGAAAACTGTGTGAATGCTACTGGGGACTCTTGTAAAATAAATACACCACAGACACAATGGGAGTATTGACATGGAGGTTATTGATGAACAACTATCTATAATTTTTGTTGAGTTGCAGGTATGGAAGACAAATAGTATATTGGAATCTAAATATTTTGTATGGTTCTGTCAGTTGTCAAAACAGTACACAAGGATATTTTCTCTGTAAAAATTAACTAAAGAAAGGAATTTAATTGTAAGAAAAATAGAAAATTTATCAATATAAGGTTTTAGCAAAGCCTAGCAATAACCTTAATACAGTTAGTAATAACTATCATATATGGCTCATTTTACACAAGTCTTTTAAAAAGCAGGAATAAGATGTCTAGGTAAAATTATTTTGCAGGGAGCAATGGGAGAGTATTTAGAAGACATTTAAGAGTCTTTGGCAAGAAATGTTCAAATATGCTAGAAATGCAGTTAAACATAAATGTGTTAAAATTTATTAAAATAAGATCTATAACATTTAAACCAGTAGATAAAGAAAAAAGAAAACAAAAATGAAAAATGCTAAAAGTCAAATGACTAAACATTTTAAGGATAATTTTGGATAAATATCTATACAAATATAAGCAAAATACAGGAATATGAGCCAATGTTGCAGAGATTGTTATTCCAGATTTTAAGCTACACTACAGAGAGATAGGGGTAATAACAGTATGGTACTGGCATAGAACAGACATGTAGATCAATAGAACAAAATTAAAGATCCAAGCATAAGTACATTTAATTGCAGCACTCTGATACAAAAGGTCAAAAACTGACCCTAGAGCAAAGATATCATCTTCATCAAATGGTGTGGAAATAACTAGCTGTTCACATCTAAAAGAATGAAATTAGACCTATGTCTATCACTCTGCACAAGACAACTCATAATGGATTAAAGACCTTAATGTGAAACCTGAAACACTGAATCTTCTAGAAGAGAACACACTCAGTAACATATAAGATATTGGTATAGCAAATGAATTTTTGGATAGGACTCCATTTGTCCAGGAAGTAAAGTCAACAATTAACAAATAGGACTTCCTAAATCTAAAATAAAATAATAATAAAAAATTCAGCATAGCAAAGTAAATAATTAACTGAGTTAATAGAAATGTGTGTGTGTGTGTGTGTGTGTGTGTGTGTGTGTGTGTGTGTGTGTGTGTGTGTGTACTTTTAAGTAGACATAAAATAATATGATTCCCTATGGCTTTTCAAGCATTCTTAGTGCTATTTATTTAGTACTGGCATAGAAGCTCATACACAAAATGAAAAAATAAAAAATGAACTATTTGGAAAGTGGGTGATGGATCTGAACAGAAATCTCAAAGAAAGTAGTAAACTAGCTAAGAAATATCTCAAAAAGTGCTCAACCCCTTAGTAAGTAGGGAAACACAAAACTACTTTGAGATTTCATCTTAGCCCAATCACAATAGTGAAGATCAGCAAAACAACCAACAACAAAAGCTACAAGGCATTTGGAAAAGGGGGAAGACTGGTTCACTGTCAGTTGGATTTTAAACAGGTCCAACCACTCTGAAAAGTATATGAAGAATTCTCAAAATACTGAAAAGAAACCTACCATATTAGCCAGCTATACCACTTCTTGCCATAAGCCCCAAGGACTCAGCATCCTACTCAACAAATACTTACTCAGCAATTTGGCTTTTAATCCCACCAAGACGTAGATCAGTGTAGAAAATGAACAGTCAGCATGCTGTTACAGCCCTCAGACTGTATAGGTTGTTGAAGCCTGAGGAACATATTCACGTGCCTCTCTTTGGCCAGCCCTTCAAAGTTGGGATTTTGTTACTGGAGTCTGAATACCAACTGTAAGGGTGGGTGGCAGGTCTGGTGTAAGGGTACATTTCATAGTGAAATGTCAGCTTGATTAGAACCCTCACAATCCTAGTATTGCATAAATACTAATATTTTACATAAATGCCCATTTATATGTCTCTATTAATCTCTCTATTATCTACCCATCTATTTTATCTATCATGTACGTATCTAACTATCATCTATCTGTCCATCATCTATTTCATCTACTTAGATCCTTTCTCTCATTAGAAATATTTATTAATATCTTTGTCATCATCTTGCCCTAGAATAACTGAGCCCTATAGGCAATTCATATTCATTGCGAATTCTTTAAAGTTCTATGTCTAAGATCTCCTTTGTAAAGATATTTTAAAATGAGTTTCTCAAAAGTATTTAATCTAAATGCCAAGAAATAATGGTGCTTAACGTATTTAGAATTGAAATACATTTCTTTCTTATTTAACATACTATTACACAGTTTAAGCTTTCTTAACAGATTTTTAATCTTTAGCTTAGGAATTATTTTAATTTAAGGATTATTAATATAAAATAAGTTATAGCAAGAATAATTTAATGATTAATTTTATATACTCACATTACTCAGTAAAAGTTAATAAAAAATTTCTATAGAGTTTTGTTTTTCAACTGTATTCTTGTATAACCCAATATATCTGATTTATAGAGCAATTATGCAAAACTCCTTTTTACTATCACTTGGATTAACTGTATTCTAGGAAGTAATCTAATCAAACAGTGACTAAGGCACAGCATGTCTTCCAAATGAGAATATAAAAGCTGGGTATTTTTCATTCTTTTCTAAAGTCCTGTTTCAGTCTCCATGAGCTCTGGGAACATTTCTCTCTGTCCTCAAATGACTATAAGTTTATCAAGCATAACCTCATAAGAAAATGCCTAAGCCTGTAATAATGTTGGTCAGATATATGACTTATGAAAGTCACTAAATGTTTCAAGCAACAGGTAATTTGCAGAACCCTATTCTCTTATTTATACTGAATCTATCCAGTGGCTCTGGAAAATTCCTTCATTATCTCCATCTATGTGACTCAAGATCTGAGGAAATTGGTGATGAAATTTTATTTCAATTCAAAATTCAAATCTGTCTCACTAATCATCATTAAATAGTGATTGTGCTAAAGATGCCTGGGGTAATCCACAATAGAATCTTGAGAAAAACATGGTATTTGGATCTTTATGCATCTGAAATCTTTCTTTGTACATAATATTTCAAATAATGTTGAAAATTTATATATGCAGTCATATATCTTAAGATTATTAAAGACATTTTATTAAAATTCTAAATAGAAAGGACAAGTAATTAAAATGTTATACTTTTAAAATATATTAATTTTAGCATATATATATGTTCTAATTAGTTCTTATCATTTTATCTTGACTAATGCATATTTGGATTACATTTAGTCTAAAAAATTTTAGTGAAATCTAAATGTATTAATTTTAAAATGCACCCATGAAAATTTTTATTCTTTTGGAACAAAACACACATACACATACACACACATGCACACACACACACACACACACACACACACACACACATGCATGATCATTATGTAAGTATAATATATACTTGTGTAGTAAATTTTACTTAACCCCAATATTTTAAATTTTGAGGTGTTCTGATAAATTCTCTCTTCCTTTATTATTGCAAATATCACTTCAAATATTTTTTTTTTTTTTGGTTTTTCGAGACAGGGTTTCTCTGTGTAGCTTTGCGCCTTTCCTGGGACTCACTTGGTAGCCCAGGCTGGCCTCGAA